AGAATGAGTTTGAAAAAGAAAATCACATCTTGTTAACCACTAACTACCCTTCCCTTTACAGAGAGGCAGCTGACCTCGACCCACCCTCCACCGACAACTCCACAGGCCAAAAATGCGCAGCAGGGCCTGGGCTAGATATAAGACCGTGCTGCTCACACACCAACTCAAGCATCCTCCCCTCTGTGGATTCCTCAACAGATGAGTTTGGCTCTTGCCATCCTTCGTGGAGCTAGCATCAAAACCCTCCTCATTAAAAGCATTCAGCTGCTTTTCCAGTTTAATCACTGAGTAAATATTGACTGAGGATCTTCTGTGTGCCAAGGCCTTTCCAACCAACATCAGTTGAGCAAATGTTTGAACCCTCAGTTGTCAAGACTTCTTTGAAGGAGAACTCATGGTGCTCCCAGTTGCATGGCTCTACGCTGTAACTGGATAATGTATCATCTAAGACAGTGGTTCTCAACCTTCCTAATGCTGTGACCCTCTATTACAGTTCCTCATGTTGTGGAGACCCGCAACCATAAATTTATTTTCATTGCTACTTCATAACTGTAATTTTTCTACTGTCATGAATCTCAAAGTAAACATCTGATTTACAGGATATCTGGTATGCAACCCCAGTGAAAGGGTTATTCAACCCAAAAGGGCCACGGCCCATAAATTCAGAACTGCTTTATCTAAGGAGTCATTTTTCATATCAGGTATAAGGAAAATTATCAAAATAAGAGCCGCTTATTCAATGAAGAAGTACAGCTAATTTGTATTTTTAAGATGATTTTTGCTCCCTACACATATGTACCCAGTGGGCAACTTGCTCTTCTTATGGGTCCCTAGTAAGGGGAACAGGGGCTGTTACTGATATGGACTCTGTTGCCTGCTTTTCAATCACTTCCCCCTGGCAGAGCTGCCTTGCCAGGCCACTGTGGAACCTCTTCACTCAGTCTTGATAAAACTTGATGTGCTGGGGTGGGGGGGCTCCCCTTTTCTGAGCAGTAGAGGAGGGGGAATAGAGGAGAATAGGAAGAAAAGGAGAGGCCAGGAGGAAAGAGCAGGCTATGATTGGGATATAAAGTGAAAAGACAAAACAAAAAAGATTATTTTTAAAAATACATTTGTATCTAAAAAGTTACTAAGGCATTCTCCATAATTTGCTATTTACCTTTTCATACATATCCCAGAATTCACTGGAAACAATGGTCTCAAACTCAGTAAGTTTAAGTTTATGAAGTTTAGAACTGATATTTGAAGTTGAATGTGTAAGACAAATCATTTTCAAAAAATGAGAAGACAAAGAAATGAACTTAATAACCATCATTTTCCATCACGCTAATCAACAGCTGCTTGATTCCAGAGGGTAATTCCTAAAACAAAGAAAAGTAAATGCTTGCTTTGCCTAGAGAAATAGAGACAAATGTCAGCTGAGGGTTTCCAGTGATGTATGACCTCTTTCCAAAGGTTGCTGAGCAGGCAGGAGTGGGATGCTACTTCCAAGGCTATATGAATCTAGGTGGGAAGCAGAGGTCATCTCCGGCCAGTGGGTTTCATGAGAGGATACACACAAGCCTTTTCAGGAACATTCATTCCATCATGTCTCAATAGGTCCCACTGGGGAATCCATCCTTTCTCCTATTAAACAAGAAAGGCTTCAGGAACTTGGTCTTTCCTCATCTACCACCTTTTCTTTTCATTCCCTGACTTACAAATAAGTTTAAAGGTCAGAACTGTTGAATCTACCACTGCTCACATAAAATCCAGTTAGTGTGGATGGACTGAAAATACATGCTGAAAGAAATTTTTAAAAAACTTTCCCTGATTATAACTTAAATAGATTTGACTCACCTGTTAAAACTCCATTTCTAGTGTTTTGGGGCCCGCAGTTCTGAGAAGAATGTTCAAGAAAAATAGACATTATCATATTTAACTACAATATCTTAGAAGTCCATTTTTGTATAAAAATAGTATGCACAGAGCAATTCAGGAATGTCACACATGTGTCCTTGTCCTCAAAGAGTCTGGTGTCATGAAAAGAAGTCAATTTTCCACAAAAATGGGACTCCATTCTAAGGCCAATCTGAATGAAGACAAGAAAACCTCAATATATATATATATTTTGTCCAAGCTCTAAGAAACCTTTTGGCTGAATCACAGTGTTTTATACCATAGCTTAAAGGATATATTTTCCTTTATGCATTTTGATATTTAAGAATAATGAATTCAAAAATTACTGGGAAAAGAGGGTCTGTAATTGATCGCCTAGGGAAACTATGCAAAATCCCTTCAAAATTCCCACCAGGAGTGGAAGAGAGGTGCATGTAGATACAGTCTGCAACCTTCCAATGCTTGCTCCACTGGAATTCTAATTAGTGAGACCCCTTTAGGCAACTTTCAGCTCTTAATTTAAATACAGGAAGTGTTTCCTTAGGCTCTATAATACCTTGGCAGAGCTGATCCTATTTCCTGAGATTAAATAGAAGAAAACTCTTCCCCAGGGAAATTGAACCACACACAATAAGATCATTCATTAGAATGTTCATATAAATTCAAAATATACCAAGCAAAGAGCAAATGTCTTCTTCCCAAAGTCACACCTGGGAAATGCTAACTAGAACCATGGCTTGTCCTGCTCTTGAGAGAGTGTTTAGGGGACACAAGTTCTCCAGGAAGAAATACTGAGACAGCGAAACTAAGTGAAAAAAATAAGTAAATATTCTTTTTCCTGGATTTAAAAAAAAATGTCAGGACTACTTGCTTTTGACAATTCTACTTTTGTTTACTTGTTTTTCAGCACTGGTAAGCCAGCCCAAGGCCTAGCTCAGAACAGGCAAGCGATCTTCCACCCATCTACACCCTCAGCCCTTTGTTTCCAGTTATAAAAATAAAGCTGTATCTTCCTTTATAAAATAAAGCTAATTCTTCCTCTCCTTTATATCACTTACAGTTTTAGCAGTAGAAAAATCTGGCTAGCTTTTGAGTCTATATCTAGACCTGTCAGAGAAAGGGGAAACTTAAGACCCAAACACACTACTCAACTGCTGGCTGAGAGAGAAGGGGAAGCAAGTGCTTCTGGGACTTATTTATCGTCCAAGAGAAACAAAGGAGAACACCGTTCAATCTTTTGACATTACTTCTGTAGATTCATAACCCCTCACTAAATCTGAAAGCTAAATAGCGTTCTGGCAGCATTGTTGAGACCTGTGTGTCAGGTTTAGAAATGCTGGCGTTGAGGCTTACTTTGATGGTGAGATTTTTAGGAGCCTATTTCCCTGCTAAACAAATGTATTATGGAGTGATGGACAGCAGAGATTCCAAGGATTACAAGGGGAGATCAGGGTGTTCACCCACAATATCTACCGCATTGACAGCCGACCTTATTGAAGTTTCACAATATGAACTGCCGCTCCGTGGACTGGCTCAGCCGGGTAGGTGATTAGCAATTTATCACCAGTCAGAACCCAGATTGCTTTATGTACAGTGTCTGTGGCGTAGTCACACACCTCGAATCAGATCGAGATGACCCGACGAGAACCATTTTTGTAGAAGTGAGAAGAAACATGAGTTGGGAGCTCCTCCGACGAAACTGTGTCTGATTACTGGGCTTGACGTATTTCCTGGAGTAGGCATCTAGAAGGTACTTCTCCAAAAGGAAGCAGTGCGAAGCCGGGGGAAACAGAGAGGGCTACAGGTGGCTCCCCCCTCCTTCCTGGGTCGTGCTTCCTGCCACTGCACCTTACTCCCACTGTAGTAATGACATGTAAGAAACTGACCAATTTTCAAAATCCCCTGCAGAGTGAGGGGTCTGACACCAAAATCTCATATAGCAGCAATGGGATTCACTGAATTGCATGTGAGAAATTATCCAAGATCACCAAGAGTCAGAACTGATATGTGTGATTGCCTGTTTGACTCAATCATCAAAAATACCAAGGGCTTTTAAGTCTTATAATTCCAACCTGCTTTCTAGCTCTATCCTCCAACAAGGTAGAATCCTTCTCCGGATAGTGAGTCATCTTCAGCACCTACTTTAATCAATATTTGTTGAATACAAAAAAATAGAGGGAGAGAAGAGGTTAGCTTTATGATTTTGTTGTCCATTATACTTCAGGGTGAGGTAATTTCTCAACAGCAACAACAAAAGCTTGCCTTGTGGATATGAGAACAAAACTTTTATCCCCAAAACCCATATACAAAGGCCAAATGTGATATTGCACTTTTTTAAGCTCTGCCTTGGTGGGGGTTAGAGACAAAAGGATTCTTGGAGCTCACTGGACATTCTTAGCAAGCTCTCGGCTAGTGAGACACACTGCCTCAACAAACAAGGTAGGCATCAGCTAAGAAATGGCAGCCATGTTGCCCTCTGCCCTTCATACACGTATGTACACATTTATTCATCCCTACATAAACACACATACACTTACAAACACCACAAAAAAGAAGCAAAAAAAGACACAGATAAAGATGCAAAAGACATAAGAGAAATGGCAGAACAGTAATGGAAGTGTGCCAGAAGTATATTAGAAAGAAAATCCACACTAATGCCACCGTTTGAAAAGATAACGAATGAGAATTTTCCATTGGACATACAGGATGTCAAAACCAAATCAAGATAAACACATTATTGGTGACATCATAGGATAATAGCTAACTGACAAATATAGAGCTGGAACTATAGGGATGAACAGCAAATAAGAAAGAAAAACTATTACCTTCACAAGAGCTTCAAATAAGTTCTCGACAAAAACCACAGAAGCCAGAAAACAAAATGATACTTTAAAGTTGGGAAGAAATTGTTGTCGTGTAGTTCTCTATATTCAGGTAAATATTATTCACATTTAGAAGTACTGAAAAAAAAGATTTGATTTCAGCATATCAATAATAAAAGAAATGTTGAAGGGTCTTCTTTTCATTAAATATTTTACTTAGTGTCCATATGTTCAGATAGTGTACTTGAATTGCTCCTCCCCCTCCCATTCCTCTCTTATTCACTCCCCATAACCTTTCCCTCCCAACCACACATATATACTTTAATAGCCATTGGGTCCATTTAGTCCTGTCTGCATTTGCAAGAATATAGGACCATCTTCTGGAGCATGAGTCATCTCTCAGGATCTTCATCCTGGGGAAAGAACATTCCCTCTCCCTCTCCCTCTCTCTCTCCCATTTAGCGGTCAGTTGCCAACAGCTCCTCAGATAGGGGTGGCGCTTCCTGAGCCCCTCTCCCATCCATGCTGGGAGTTCGACTGTCTTGATCTTGTATAGGTCCTAGGCTTGCGGTTTGCCATTGTAAGTCCACGTGTGAAACCATTCACATGCGACAGATGCTGTTCTGCTGCAGACATTCACTTCCTCTGGCTCTTACAGGGTTGCTGCCTTTTCTTCCATGAGAATCCCTGACCTGTATGGGAAGTGTGATGTAGGTGTCCCATTTAGTCCATTATTCTCTACATGTTGACCAGTTGAGGGGCTCTGTATTAATCACCACTTACTGATGAGGGTTGAGAGATACAGTAATCTATGAGTAGGGAGACAGGAACTTAAGAGAGAGCTTATTACTCTATCCAGCAGAATCATAGAAGGTTCTTCCCCAGGGCCTATGACTCGGCTAGTTACAGTACCAACTAACAGTCCATCTTATGGAGCAGTCTTTACTTTTGACTATAAGGACACAGAAAGGCTCCGGTATAAGAGGTATATGTAAATAGCATGCCATACTGATGCTTAAAAATTCATCTACCCGAAGATATGACAATTTTAAGATTCGTGTTTTCTCAAAAACTGACTAGTTGATCTTGACGGTCAGTAGAGGATGTCACAGAGAACACAGCTATCCAAAACAAGAGTTGAAGAAGTAACATCGCCCCCAAAATACTGCTTCAGGGCACACTTAGCCAGGCTAATACTCCAGCAGACATGTGGTCAAGACCATCAAACACAGTCATCATCGACAGCCAGCAGATACTGCCATCATCCCTACCCCTACAGGTTGCTGTGTGGGGATGCTGACACCATAGACCCTTCTGAGATTTGCCACGCAAGCAGCATTTTGCAAGGATTGTCCATTCTGACCAAGACTAAGGAGAAGACAGCTTCATCTCAGCTCACCATCCAGAGCAGTGTGTTGCTGCTGAGCTCCCCTGCAGTTAGAAGCAAGTGAAATGAACACACTAATTTCATGGCAACAAGAATTTGAGGAAGAAGCAGCTCTCATGGAAGGCCGGAACGTGATCTTAGAGAAATGGTTCTAGATAGTAGAAGTCCTTCATCACATTTGAGTTCTGCTTAAAAGAAGTGTTTACTAAGGGTGGGGAAAGATTTAGCTATATAATTTTTTTCCAACAGTTGGCAAAATATAAATAGGTACGTGCTATCTCCTTGGTATTGAAATTCCACCAGAAAGGGGATGAGAGGGAGAAAACTGAAGGAAAGCAAGGTAGAGAAATAGCTTCATAAAGGCTGTTTAAGGAAGCAATCATGGAAATATTGGGAAACAGTGAACTAGAACAAGCATCGTGAAGCGGTGATCAGAAGTACGTAAAAGATGAGCCTCTCTGAGAGAAGCGTGGAGGGTGGAGGGTGGTGGGAGTGAGAGAGCAAGGCTTTCTGGGTGGCAGAAACAGTCTCATGCATGCGCTCCTGGAACAAGGGAGAGGTAAACAGCATGAAATGCAATAGTGTGGTCAAATAAGATAAGGTCTGAGAGGGGTTTATTGGATTTAGCAATTAGGAGGTCACTGGTCATTTAACCTCTTTGTGCTTCAGTTTCAATACTTGTTAAATTAAATTGAAAAATAATCTCTAAGGCAACTTGCAGCCCTAAAGACTTTCTCACTGGGTTAGGTCTTTTTTGTGCACAGTGACACACACAAACACATATAACACATACACGCACGCACACACACACACTCCCAACCCACATGCTAATCTTTTTCCCTCATCTAATTCTCTTGTGCCTCTGCTTTTGTGTTTGCATTTGGAAAATCCCAGTTCTCTTTGTCTAATTATAGCAGTGCTTTGAAATGAATCAGTTATGAGCGTCTACAGTGCCCTGATAAACTGAGTTGCTGGACAATAAACCGCTTAGCAGCGGCTCCTATAAACATTTCTAATGCCTTGTAAAGGCCTTTTATGAGGCAATAAAAGCTTTAGAATGTGGGTACCAGATTTTATTTCATTTTTTAAAAATGATTTTTAAAACCCAGATTCATTCAGAGGAAGAAAAAATAATTGATTTCCTCCTAAAGACATCATGTGTTCATTATTTTCTAAGTGCCTCCCGTGTGTCGGGTAATAGAATATGTGCTTGGAAAATGTCACTGAATAAGACAAATAGTTCATACCTTCCAGCAGCTTCCAGGGAAGAAGGTGGAGCACAGCTCTGTCACTGCCGTCAGCTGGACACACTGGTGGCATGTTTGAACAGACCCTGAGAAGCATGCAAACTGTCGGCCTGCAAAGAAAGCATGGTAGTTCAATTTCCTCAGAGGATTCTCCCCATGGTCAGGGTACATATGCCGCAGAATTATGCCTCTAGAATACCTACACATTGTGATGTTATGTCTTTTCTTAAATGAGTGACCTCTTTATTATATTAAATAACAAGTTGCAGAGTTGTCCTAATGACCCCTGTACCTTGGAGGTAGTAAGGGACATAAGCAGTGTGTGGGGTTATGAGATTTGTTCTGAAAATATCCACAATTTCCTGAGCTGACAAAGTCACAAGTGTGATGAATAATCCAGTGGCTGATGACTATGTTCAATATGACACTGAATGTTACACTTCTGCTACAGGTTAATCACAATGAAGAGGGTTTTTTTCACCCCCACTTAAGTTTATAGACTCCTCTGAGTTTTTCATCCAGAGACAACCCACACCCTGGGATCCTTGGCCCCCATTTCAGGGCTCTGAATCAGCTCGAGATTTTCTTTTTTTATGACCTCGCTCCACAGTTGCTGCTGGAGCTACATCATTGGAACTTTGCAATGACTGTAGCTGCCCATTATTTGGGGCACACTGCCATCCAATGGCTCTGCCTGCACAGTCTAGCAGTAATAACACCGGCAACAAAGCAGTCTTTTAGGGCATTAGACCAAACCTGCAAATTAATGTGCTGGTTCGTCACAATTCATTAATCAAACTCAGACTGGATTTAACAACAGATTATTAAAGACTCAAAATTATATCCACAGGAAAAAAAAAAAAGGCAGTTCCCAGAGGGTCAAATGTAATGTGAATGGTTTTGCATAAAACTATAAACCTGCTATTAAATTAAAAACAGGAAAAATTATGTCCATTCCTTATCTTCAGTCTTTTTTTTTTTTTGAAGAAATGCTACATTAATTTATTTTTCACTCTTCCTGGCTGCGCAGCAAAAGACTAAAAGGTTAAAATACAACCATCCCTTTGATATTTGGCTGAGTAACTTACACTAATATGCACTGACTGGGGTGAAGAAATTAATGAAATTACTCCCATAATTCATTACTAATGGAACACTGTCACTGCTTTCAACTGGCAGTCCACACAAATGCTCCTCAGACCGAGACACCTCATGGTGACTGGCGACTGGACTTGCCCCTGCTACCGTTCAGCAAAGCAGAACGGTGCTCCCTCATCCCCTATCCTCCTGATGGCTCATCTCTGTGTATTTGCTTTTAGATGGTTCTGCTCTGTCTGAGAGCAAAACCAGGAGGAGAAACAATGATTTGAATCTCTCTTTTCTCTTCTAGGACTTTAGCAGGCTCATTTGGGGATTCCCAAAAACTTATAAACATTCAGAATGCTGCAGTCTGGCAGGCCGCAGCACTACGACCAACTGTGCGGTGAATTTTTAAAGGTTAATATTTGAGAACAGCAATCATAGATTAAAAGGCATGACAGCAATAAGAAGAAAGGGGGAAAACAGTTCAAAGAACTGCATGATTTTGTGACATGTTTGGTCTCACCCCAGTATACATGAACCATTAGTCCTTTCTGGCTTTGCAAAAACCAGTACAAAGGTTACTAACACACATGATGATTAAGGAGAGCAAATGTTTTATTCAGATTGTGTACCCAATATTGTAACTGTAGTGGCTACTTGTCCCTTCCTTCAGTCTTAGTACTGGCTGATTTATTTATTTATCTGGGGTTGTTTTTTGTTTTGGTTTGGTTTCTTGTTGTTTTTTGGTTTTTGCTTGTTTTTGTTTTGTTTTGTTTTGAGATGGGTCCTTACTATGTAACCCTATGTATCCGTTTTAAACCCAAAACTTCTAAAAGGCAGGGACAACGTTTTTGTTATATATACAAAAAGAATAATTTCCCTTTGAAAATAAGCATCAGTCATGGTTACAGGTCATATGATATGAGTAATATAATACTACACATAAATATTTAATATATTAGAGAACCTTCCAGAAGTGCTAACATCTTCAAAGAATTTTAAAGTGTAGTTAGAGTGTAGTGTAGCATGATGCATGTTAGGATTTTGGTACAGAATAAGCAACAAGTACATAGTCTACTTTGTCACCCACTCTCCCAATCCCTGACTTTTTTTTTTCGGGCTCATGGTCATAATCCATCTTAATGCAATATTACAAAGAGCCTCTGCTCGTCACTCGCCAGTCATTAAAGGGAAATGTAAGCCAGTCATGGGAATGCCTGCCTGTAATCCCAGTTAATGAGGAAGGAAGAGAAAAGGATCACTGCAAGTTCAAAACCAACCTGGACTGCACAGCAAATTTCAGCCCAGCCAGAGCCACATAGAAAGACTCTGTCTCAAAAAGCAGGTGGCGAGGCCTCTGGGAAGATGATCCGGTGAGTATGTGTACGAGTATCAGTATGCTATGCAAGCACGAGGACCTGAGTTTGGATCCCAGCACCCGCCTAAAAATCCAGGTGGAGCTGCCCACATGCCTGTGACCCCAACGCCATGAGGAGCAAAGACAGGTGATCACTGGGTCTCCAAGACCATCAGCCTAGCTTCAGGTTCAATCAGAGCCCCTACCTCAAGAGAACAAGGTGAAGAGCGGTGGACAGGGCATCAGATCTCTTCCTCTGGCCTACACACAAGCACGTAAGCAGACACACCATCAGAACATGCTCTCTCACACAAACACCAAAAAAGGAGGGATAAATAAAATGACTTTACCCCGGCAGAGAACCTGCCCTGAAGAAGAAATTACAGAAGTGCTTATTAAAGCGAATAAGTGAACTCCTTCACCTCTTTCTACATGAAAGCACAGCTAGGATTGTCCTTCCAAAGTCGGCTCAATTATTAGCATCTCTTAAAATGTGTCATCATAGGTGTTACAGGGAAATGACTGGGTATAAAAATATTTCTGGAGTCATGCAGTGAGCCTCCACCCACACAAAGATGTTTACCTCCCAGCTGTGAGGGAACATGGGCACATCAGAAGTATAATTCATAACTGTTTGCAGGCACAAGTATAAAACCCATACCTCAGAAACCCAGGACATGGTAGGCCAACGAGATAACTGAGCATGAAGCAGGGCTTGAGTTTTAAGTGTCTGAGCAAATGAGGACACCAGAAAGTCTTAGTTCTCTAAGGTGACACAAGTGAATATATTCATCCAGGGCACCTCACATATGGCTGTTCTCCTCATATCCTTTCCCACAGGCGCACTCTGCAAAAAAAAAAAAAAAAAAAAAGGACACATGATGGAAGGAAAGATACAGGCTCCATGCTTGACTTGAGGCCTTCTCTCCTTAGCCTACAGAATATGCATTATGCATAGCTGAAAAGCAACAAAACCAGTAGCCTGCGTCATGGCGCCAGGTGGTCTGGATTATGACCAGACCATAATGGTCTTCCTATCTAATGCTGTAAAATATGACCAGACCATCTTGTGTGTACTATTATCTTCTTTGCACCTTGTTGTTCTCATACATAAGATAGGTGCCTCCATAAAAGACAGAATCATGAGATTGTAGTAATAATTAAATGTGTAATAAAGATGTAGTAGTTGGGTGTAGTGGCTCAATCCCAGCCCTTGGGAGGCAGAGGCAGATGGATCTCTGTGAATTCAAGACCAGCATGGTCTACATGGTGAGTTCCAGGGCAGCCAGGGCTATGTAGAGAGACCCTGTCTCAAAAGAAAAGAAGAAAGAACAATGAAATGCCAAAATGGACCATTACTTGATACATGGGAAATGTTGGGCACCATTTTTAGCTTACACTCATCTTGGAAGGCAGATGTGGTCACCTTCAATTTAGAGCATTAGTTGACCAGTTTCCCACCACCAAACATTATTGAACATCTAAAACCTGTACCCCAAAGAGAAAAATATCCTGAAAGTAGTCCTACCCTAAGTCACTGAGTGGTACGTTCTTTGACATTATGGCAATTCTGAGTCATCCTTGACTGACTCGGTGTTCTAGCCCACACACGAATACTCCATTCTTCCCACTGCCTGAGTGACTCCAATGAGTTGTTCGTTGCCCATTACTCATTTTTGGCTTCTCATTATTTAGTATTTGTTGCACATTAATCCTTTTAACTTTAACTTACAGGCTTTCAATTTCCAGCTCATAAGTAATAGTGAGGGGAGAAGTCAGCAATGCTAGTAAAACAGGAAGAACAGCTGCCACAATCTTTGCCCATGAAATCACTAGGTAAGCTTCCAAATTAATATGCCCTTTTAATGTGAGGAAATCAAGAAATACTTACCCTGGTGCCTTAATCGGTGTTCTATTGCTGAGAAGAGACACCATGACTACAGCAACTCTTATAAAAGACAGCATTTAATTGGGGATTGCTTACAGTTTCAGAGGTTTAGTCCATTATCTTCATGGCAGGGAGTGTGGTGGCATGCAGGCAGACATGGTAGCTGAGAGTTCTACATCTGGATCCAAAGGCAGCAAAAAGAAAGAGACTGGACTTGCCCATGGGCTTCTGAAATCTCAAAGCCTACCCTCAGCAACAGACTTCCTCCAACAAGGTTATATACCTTCCTTATCCCTTCAAATCCTTTCACCACTGCCTGGTGACCAAGCATTCAAATCTATGACCCTACGGAGACCATTCTTATTTAAACCACCACACCTTGTGACATTATGTTCATTGGGCAAATGTGGGCAATGAGGCCAGGAATCATCCATTCAGCAATTACAATACGGAGGTTTGAACTCACAACTGAAAAGTCCTTAGGCACCCAAAATCCCCACTTCAGTTCCTTCTAATGGAGGAGGAATTTGAATATCATTTTATTACTCTTATTTGTGAGGCAAACTCAAATTTAATATATTGTAGTTATTGTACATTTAACCAATTTTGAGTAACGAAGATAGATCTGAATACAAACCGGTTTGTAAAAAAAGGATAAAATGATACCTTCTGTACTGGCTGCAAAAATGATTAAAGTAAGCAACTAGACATCTTCAATTTACTGCTAAAATTGATGCAGCACTGGGTTGAAAATGAGCAAGGGGGGCTGGAGAGGTTAAGAATGTTGGCTGTTCTTCCAAAGGTCCCGAGTTCAATTCCCAGCAACCATATGGTGTCTCACAGCCATCTATGGCGAGATCTGGTGCTCTCTTCTGGTACGCAAGCAGAATGCTGTATAAATAATTTTAAAAATGATATTAACAGAGAAAAAGAAAATGGGCAAGGGTACAGATGACCTGACTGATCCCTCTGAAAGACCACCTTCATTAAATGGTTCTTAAATTAACACTTCCATTCCCTGCTGGTAAGAAGCTTTTCAGCACACACACAACACAACACAACACAACACAACACACTAGAGGAGACAATGAACTCTCCACTCTGGTGGTAAACACTCCTGGTTACTACCTCTTCGCTGAGATAGCAAAGGCATTTTGCTAACTTCTAGAAGAAGATAATGAGGAGAGTATAGGTCCTCACGCCTAAGTCATTCCCCGGTGAAGGTGTCTAAATGACAGAGGCCATCACAGGTCAGTAACACATACGACCTCAGGAAAACTTCACCGCTAAAACTCTCCCTCAACCACTCCCTAAAATTATCTCTCTAGATCAGTAACATGCAAGTGATGAAATTATCTTATTAACCATCAAAATAAAAGGAACCTTGAGAATAAAGTTGTCATTCTTAATTAAAATGGACTCCTTATCTCCTTTAACTAGAGTAGATACTAATACTGGAAACACTTAGCTGAAGGATGGCTTCTATCCACACCCCAATTAGTGAACACTTAATTTATATATGTTGCAGCTCATAGCTGTTTACCACTGTGGTTGGGCTAAGTCTCTTCGGCCTACTTTTTAAATGATTAAATACTCTCCATCCAACCAAATAGATATCTTCGGGGTTGCATTTTGCATGCTTAAACATTCTGTAAACACACACTCCATCCCTCAGATTTAAGCGGGGAGGGGGAGGGGCACCTAGCGCCAGTCCGTTCATTACATGTTTATTAAAGCTGGACTTTTCCGTGGGGTCGTGCACAGCTAAAACTGAAGCTGCGTTTAGTAACAGAGCAAGTGCATTCTAGCAGCACGAAAAGTATAAAATTTTAATGTGTAATGTGTTCCTTAATTATGGAAGAACTCTGCAAAGAATAACACCCTTGAAATTTACTGTGTGAATGCTCTTAATTTATGATGAATTTCCCCTTAAAACACAAGTATTAAATCTCTATTAGATTTGTCAAGGTGATATGCTAATATGCATCACTAAGATCTTAAATTTCTAAGTAGCAATGCTGTTTGTTAGGTGTAAATAAAGATTACCTTAATTAAAATACACTCTCCCCAGTCTCCCTGCAGATCTGGCTTCGTCTTTATATAGGACAGGTTCATTATCTATCTCAAGTTAATAAAAGAATGACCTGCTGCGGTTACTTCTTTTAAAATTTAATTTTAATTACTATTTTGCTAATGGAAATAAAGCACCAAAGAATCGCGAATATGATCCAAAAGCAATTTTGAAAACTTAATTAAAATACCTCTTGAAAGCTTCAAAAGGAATTTAGCACTTACATGGCTTGATAACTGATGGCCTTACAAATACAGCATTAGATAGGAAGACTGTAAAAAAAAAGAATTTTTAAGAAAGTATTGAATGAAGCACGCTGCAGAGCTACGGCCCTTTCCCTGCATCTTGAACTAATGGTTCAACTAAATAGGTGTAAACACGAAACTTTTAATTCAAAATGTTATCATTCAGCAAAGGCTCTTAACAAAGAAATGGAGTGAGTAAACAGTAAAGCCTCTCCAACACAGAAAACTCAAGTGCTTTTAGGCTTTTGCATAAGACCATCACGGTTTAATCCAGAGGACTGCAGGTGTGCTCACTTTATCTCTTGGTCCTTCAGGACCTGAATATAAAATTAAAAGGCTGCTATATGTTGTATAAAATTCTGTAGCAGAGTTTTATTAGGGCAGCTTCCTCTCCAACCCAAATTTCAAAGGTTTACACATATATTATTGATCTTATCTGTGAACATATTGGTTCAGTAAGGAACCTTTAAACATAACACAATCCATGGGTTTTATTGAGATTCACTACTCCTCATGAATAAGATAAGAATATGAGATGAAGGCTATCACAAAGAACATGCTCCAGGCAAGAAACCCAGTCTTTGTGATATTCAAAATATATTTAGCAGCTCTTATATTACAAACCTAGCAATGTTATGGTTCATAAATGCAATGTGTGTTGTTGTACCAGACTACTTGACTGCTTCCAGTAAGCAAAATCTCTGAATTCATTAGCAATAATGAATTTTTTTCTCTCAGTCTGTTTATGAAAAAAAAAAAAAAAGCATTTTGTCAGACTGCACTCTCAACCCTGTTATAAAAGAAGAAACATTCTATTTCACATAATGTCATGGATCTTGACTTTTAGAGACTGACATTCAAAATAATTTTTTAATTTTAATTTTTATTTTATATGTATGAGTGTTTTTTCCTAAATGCCTATCTATGTATCGCATCCATGCCTGGTGCCTGCAAAGGCCAGAAGAGGACATCATTTCTCCTGAGACTGGAGTTGCAGATGAATTTTAGGCATTCTATGGGTTCGGGAACAAAACTCAAGTCCTCTGCAAGAATAGCTAGTGCTTTTAGCTGCTGTACTTCCTCTTCAGTTTGAAAATACAAAATTTTTAAAGATTGACTTAAAATGACCATATGATCAAACTGATGGGGGAAAAAGAACAAATTAACATTTCGCTGAGTTTCTATCATTCTAGATCAACCTGGAAATGTGATTTAAATTAACACTCACAAATTCAACCGAACTGAACTAACTATAGACATTCTAACCCAGATATAGTCACTCACACCTGTAACCCACCTGTAACTCAGAAAGTGAGGCAAGAGAACAGTGAGTTCAAGGCCAGCCTGGACTTCACAGTGAAACCCTGTCAGGAAAGAAAGAAGGACAAATCAAGGAAATTCAAGCTGAGCGTGATGACACACACCTTTAATCTCAGCACTGGGGATGCAGAGATAGGTAGATCTCTGTAAATTTAACTGATGCATACATACAAACCCCATCTCAAAAATAAAGGCATAAAAAGATAAATTTTAGATACCGCAATCTAAATTTTAGATTCCTTACTGCTGTTGCCACTCTTACTACTGTTCTAAACAGGTCCATCTCCTGGTACTCTTTAGTCA